AAAAAAAATCCCCCCGGGTGATGCTACCCCACCAACCACCAACAGAGCATATAAAATGCCAAAAAATAAAATAATTTTTATTAAGTAAAATACTGCAACATGACAATACAAACAACAATAAAATCAGAAATGGACTTCAACTGTCAGCGCTCCCGCTTAATAGAGACCTTCTGGGTTTCGTATCCTGGTTCACGGGCCTCAATCGATGCAGGGCTTTTCAGAAAGTCAGCGCGCGCCATTAGTCTATTTCAGAGTGACAGTATGAGATTAATACATAATGTTTTTGCTCAAAACTCACTCTACTGTGACCTAATGCAGATACTGTATATAATAAACTGACGCATAAATGTATTGAGACAGAAAGTTTACCGTCACCGTAATGTGGGAATTATGATCACGCAATATTGAATATAGAGAATCGTCTTTCTGCGAGTCATTAAGACATTATGGTTCTATTCTATTTAAAGAAATATGAGGTAAACGTGTGAATACATAATGTGTGCACTTTTGGAGTAAAAGTTTGTATGTTGTGTAGCGAAGCACTGATCAAAAATAAATGGAAGCAAACGTGATTGAATATATTCAGGTCTGTGTCTCGTTATTCTATTCAAAATATCATTTACTCCCGATTGATTTTGCATTCCTAGCAGAAATAAGAACTTGTCATAAATAGTGGTCAAATATCGAAGCTAATCTCAAGGTCAAATCAAAAATGTTTCTGTAACAGCTGCCAAAAAGGGGATTCACAAACTGCCAAAAAAAAATAAATAAATAAAAAAAATAATATTTTTTTCAGAACTATATATATATATATATATGTTGTTGTTAACTTTACTTTATGTTCTATAACATAAATATACAAATGTTTGCTAAAGGTAGTCTGAAGGGTGAAAAAAGAAAAATATGATGTTTGATCTGCCATCATTAGGCAACAACAAAAAAAGTATATTCTCATTCTCTCAATTTTTAATTTTTGTCCTTTTCCATAGTCACATGTTGCCTGATCGGCTCTCTAAGGGGGAGGAGGTGAGACCATATATTTAATATCTATGCCAAGAATATGTGTTACTTTTGAATGGAATACAATTTATGTGCTTTAAATAGTAATTATTATTTAGTGTGCACCACTCCCAACCAGATTGTTCATGTGTCTGCCTGGCTCAGCCTTGAATAGAGGATGATTTGTATGTTTATTGCACATAAAATGTTGAATATAAAATCTATTTGATTTTTGATATTCTCTCTCCTAGATTTTCTTTTTCTGCTTCAATTTTCTGAAGCATATTGTTTGTGACACGTTTTCAGTCATAAAAAAACAAAGGTAAGCTATCTTATGATTTTAAATACAAGAATCATCTTTGTGTCTCATGAGTATGTGTAGAATAGAATAATTTGATAGTCTTTGAATAGTCTTTGAATCTAGTCCTATCAAGAAGCTTTTTTTTTTAATTTAAGCTTTTCTCTGTTATTTTAAACATGCTAAAATTGAGCTTATGAAAATGTTTAAATTGCTGGTAGACATTAACCTGTCCTGTTTTTTTGTGCAGCCATATGTGGTTGTTTTCAAGGGTGTGATTTATTTTATTTATTAATTTTTTTATGGTGCAATAACCATTTTAGCTTTACTCATAACTTATGTAAAGTCATGAGACTGGTCTCGTCTTATACTTTGTTGCATACTGAAGCAAATGATGCCCAGTGTTCCTATTTTGGCCATATTAAGCTGCAGCCATTTTTAATTTAGCATTAAATTCTGTTACAGAGCCATTGGTTGACTTATTTGATTCGTGTAGGTCTCTGGAAATTGTGTGGGGTGGGGGGATCATCCACTGGAAATATGTTACATCCGAGCAAATGGTTTTATATACTGCAGAGGATCTTTTGCCTCAAGAACCAGTGGTGTTGGTTAAACCTTTTATAAACTACTAAAGATTGCATAAAGTACTTTTGCCAACTATTTATATTTTTATTATTATTTTTTTTTTTAAATCCCATCAAAAACATTGCAAATATTCTTTTGAATCCTTAGATCAGTAATTAAAAAAAAAAAAAAAAAACTTTTAATTTGGCAATAAAGCGTTTAGGCCTGTAACTTCTCAAGTGTTTGTCACAGACTCAGCTTTATACTGTATCATTGGAATTCCATACCTTTGTCATTGTACATCTCGATTATAGGCCTTCTCACTCTGAACAACTTTGCGTTGACAGAAATGTTTCCTGAGGCAATCAGTTTTTTTTTTTTTTGCAAACTAGTCCTTGGATTTTTGCCAAAACAAAGCTGCTGGAAGATTATTTGGAGTCCATAGGTCAATAATTATCAAATACATGTTGAACTTGTCGCCGTGACTTCTACATGACCATCAGTCATTATATAAGCATTGCCTAATGACCCCAACCATCTATAACATATGATCAAAATACCCAGTTTTCACAAAATTTCATGTGTGCACCAGCTTAATTTTGGAAAAGGGCTTATTGTTCCTCTCTATCTGTCTGTATCTCTGAATCAAATGGCTGTATGGATTTCTTTTTCAGTGATTCAAGTTTTCACCATTTTAGATTAGATAAATTAAAATAAAAATCTAATTCCTCACAGATCATTTGTTTGATTGGTATGACATTTTGTATGTATTATCTAGAGATAAACACAAAGTTTTGATTCATCAAATCATTTACAGTTCCAATTAAATTCCAGTTAATTTATTTTACTCAAAAATTCACCAAATTCCACTAATAGGACAAGCTGTAAGTTCAACTTCTTCATAGGTTCTGTGATGGTTTCATACTTTCATTGAGAAAAGTTTGATATAATAGATTTGGTGACAAATGTATTTTGTTCTGCTAAATTTCTCAGTGCTGTTGGACCCAGATATTTGCAGCTTTTGACTATATTAATGTCTGTTTCTTTTTTAAAATTATTATTACTGTAACAGAAGAAAAAATTCTCAGTTCAAAGATGCTGACTTCACAGTTGATGACCTCTGCCAGTTAAGTAAGTTCTGTTTTTTCTCTCTCTAAATTTCTGCCATTTTTTAGAATGAACTTTCATTAAAATGAGTGATTCAGTGAATATTCTGACTACAGTAATCAAGCAGCAGATCTCAAACCTTTATGCTAATGATTTCATTCTTTCTCTGTCTCTGTCAGAGTCCAGAGATAGGGGTAGTGTGACGAGTTTGAGCAGTGATTTTTCTCTCATCACAGAAGATACATCTGCTCCCTCCAGTCTACATGCAGAAGCCACAGACCTGACTACCAGTGGACTACAGGCTTCTAATGGGTAAGGCTTACAAAATAAGAAGTAACCGGGCACCTTTAATTGCACCTGTGTAAGACAAGTACATGTTACTGGCAGAATTAGTCAGTTAGCCAGACAGAGACTGGTTACACAGTCATGCCCACTGGCCAATCATAAGATATACGCGACCTGTCCTCTGTAGGAACAGCACTCAGATACTGTCAACATGTATATATCTAGCCACAGAAAGTGGAGAAAATATATTAGCGTACCATGTAATTATTTTCAGTTTCTTGTTCACATTTAATATGTGAATAAAAGTTTTTTCACTTGACAATTGCTGCTTTGAATGTTGTTGACTTATTTAGTGTTTATCACAGGAGGAAAGGCATGCCGTTGTCTTCTCATTCTGTGCATTGGAACCGACCGCTTGCTTCAGAGGAGCGAATGCCTAATATAATCACTGAGGCCAGTCCTCTGGGGTCTTTTAAGTCCTCAAGCTCCTCCTCATCCAACCACTCAGATCAAAATGTTACACGGACAGGAAGTACCCCATTAGCTGTACCAGGAAGGAGGTGAGTACTTGCAAAGTTTATTTTGTAGTGCTTTTGTCTGTTTTTTTCTTGCTCTAATACTTTGAATCTCTCTCTGAATCTCAGGCCAAGAGTGGAGTATGCTCGGTCAGGTTCCTCGCTGTCCACAGATTATGGCAGTTGGCAGATTGTCTCAGGATGTGGGAGCATCCATGATCTTCCCCCAGTGCCCTCAGAGTCTCCTCTGCCATTCAGCTTCCAGGATGAGGGTCCCAACGGACGAATGTGAGTCTCATACACAATCCAACTCCACCTAAACTCATTCACTGTATTCTTGTAATTTGACAATAAAGTTGTAAAATTGAGACTGAATGAGTAATACTGTTTTTACAATAGTCATGATTATCACAATAGGAATAGGCTGCATTCACGGAATAGGCAGCAGCGTCATCACTGCAACATGTGAAGACTTTTGTTGAATCCAAAAACTAAGAGACCAAAAAATTCTTGTTTTTCCATCAGCACCATGCTATTATTAGTATTCACATACGTCAGTCATTATGTAGGGAACTGATTTTATTCCAGAGAAAGAACCAGACAGACATTCCAGAAATTGCCCTTTTTGTGCAATCCTAAATGGAACCAGTTGTCGCCATTTAATTTGAGTTTTACTTACTTTATAACTTATTTCTCATATTTTGATCTGATTTTTGAAATATTACTTTTTTAAAACCAGAAATACATCTGCTATGTTCATTTATGATATTGTAAGGTCTAAAGACATGTGAAGAATTTTTTAATATATATATTGAGCTGTGTTAAGGCACACAAAATTTGGTGATTTAAGTGAAGGGAGAGAATATGACGACAAATGCATTTTTTGGTCTTTTTTTTTTTCTCCTCTATTTCTAGGTGCACATTTGTACCTGACAGGCAAGTGAGGTTGGAGGCAGTAAGGGAATTGTTCCTTGCAGCCTATAGCTCTACAGTAGGACTCAAGTCATCGTCTCCAAGCCCCTCCGGTGCCATCTCAGGCCTGCTGGAGCAGTTTGCCCGTGGGGTCGGCCTTCGTGGCACTAATGCCATTATCTGATACATTTCACTCAACTTTTACACACCCTCAGGACTTTTCAGGTCATCTTTATTTTCTCCTCTGCATCTTGATGTTGCACCATATCTACCACATCAGGAGTACCTAATTTATTGGTGAAGCTGTACAGTGTATTTCATCCCCTCGTCCGTCTCTCAGCCTCTAGCAGCTCCTCTCTTCTCTTCTCACTCTTATAGTCTGCTCTCACTTATTCCAGTGCAATCCTCTTCCTGCAAAAAAAGAAGAGTGCCAAATCTAAATACAGGGCTACATTAAACTGATTGTTTTGTCTTTTACTTTATGAAAATGTTGTTCTCTACAGACCAAATAATACAGTACGTCCATTTATTTTCTAATTTAGATTTTAATTTGTGCTGTCTTTCGTCTTTCTTTTACTTTTTTGCATGTTGCACATTTGTACTGTAATAGGGAAGAATAGAGAGGGGCAGGAAAGGGAAAATTATCTCAATCTCAAAAATGAAAAATTCTTAAAATTATACTTTTAACAAAAAGGTGATTATAATAGAGGAAAAATGATTTATTCACCCATGTTAATGGCTTGTTTTATTTTAGTTGCTGACTGTCTTACACACTTAAAAGACATTGCTCTTGAAATTATTGTAGTGATTGACTGCTTTTTAGACCTCCAGGATTTGAACTAAGCCTAAAGACAGTCAGTTGTTTTGTGGTAGTTTTAGAAATGGAAACGGCTTGGGCAGTGGTAATGTAAGACAATGCCATTGTTCTTTTAGTTAAAATTTTTTTGAATTATTTAATGAGTGTGTGTTATGAATTTAATTCACTTTTGTTGTCTCTAGATTCTTTTTAAACTGCAGTGCTCAAGTACACAAAATTGTAAAGATTAATTTAATCAGAGCTAATCTATACAGAACAGCAGTCCATGTCCTTCACTCACTTTTTCCTAAGTCAAGTCGTTTTTGTTATTAGACAAGAGTTTTTTGGTTTTTTTCCTGAATGATTTGGGGTAAATGCCTCAGAATAACTGATTTGCCTTAGCAGTAGATATTGATGAATGGCTATAAGGTTGCACTTGAATTCAAGGATTGAAAACATGGAATTTGTAGTATTTTGGACATAAAACCATTGTGGCCTCGTTACCTCAGGGCCTTTTATTGTGCCTTTTGTTCTTAAGGAGATACAATTCTGTTTTCATGCCCAGCTGTATTATTTTGCTTTTAGATTTAAAACCATGCCTTGCTATATATCTGTTTCTCTTTTTGTTAGCTTATGACAGAACCAATGTCCTTGTGTATTGTAGCAGCTTCCAGTGTTGGGCAAAATTCAGACTTAAATTCAGACTATACAAACTCCTTGTCAATTCATGTGTGATTTTTGGAATCAAGCACAACAGTGGCAGATCTGTTAACAAGTACATTTAATTAATAATAATTTTACAAAAGTGGTTCAAAGATATAATTAAATATGCTTACAATACAATTGCCTATAACTCATTTATACAGTAGGTGGCACTGTTACCAAGTTGACAATTTTAGGGTATGGTTACATGCAAAGTTTCATGTCAGTGTCCCAAAGCATTGCTTTACATGCTTTTTTGACATCTTGCCATAAAATTGTTGGTATGTTATGTGAGAACAATTTATTCAAAAAGCCTGAATGGTCATGAGAATGGTTTGATGCATCAAAAAGCTTTTATAAATTTTGGTCAGCATGGTCTAAGGATGGTCTGAGCCAAATTTAATGAAGATCTCATAAACACCTTAGGAGGAGTTTGATGATAAAAAGAAGAAAAATAATCCACCGGGCTAATGTTGTTGATTTGGATTACCTCAAAGCCACTGTAGAAAATGGAAACCGCAAGGGCTGATATAGAATTGGAGGAAGACCCAAACACGCTCTATTAAACTAAGCAAAACGAAACCCAGTGTTTCTACCCCCAGAGATCATCATGCCTCTACACTGTTAGTCTACCACCTAAAAATGGTTCTGCTAAAAATTAATTTTCTTTTATTTTGATAAGTATGGGTTAGTCAAGTAATTCCCCCGGTTCCCTCGACAAAAGCCAGTAGGAATTTTGGATTATTGCAGAAAATAAGCTCTGCAACCAACAAAAGTTTGATTCTTACATCTTTTGTAATCACAATATTCCTCAGAAATGAAAACAACTTTTATGATTTATAAATTTTACAAGCTGAATGCAATTGCCAGGTGTAAATACCAAAAGTTTGGCTATAAATAAAGAACCATTTTCATATGAATTAAATACATATGACCACTAAGCTTCTGACAAATATTCCAGTCTTTATTAAAAATTTAAATTTTTTTTTTAGCTAAAATAGTTTACAAGGGCATGAGCATAAACACAAAAAGGCTGTAAAAGCGAGTACATTCGTTTTCCTGTTCGGCATGATTGGGTTTAATGTCCCCAACAATCTCTATAGTTCTATTTAGCCACTGCTTTTTTTTCTTCTTTTTCAAAACACTAAAGCTTAAAACAAATCATGAGTGTGGTACTGATGTATTTTATGTTGTAGAATAAAACATGAAAACATCTGTTAACCACATACCGTAATTAAATATTTTCTGGGATTTAAGACTCATTCCTGCTGCACTCCAAAGTTGATGAGTATAGTGGAATCAAATTTATGATAATTTTGATGATAATTTCTGGTATCTGTTTGATGGTCAATTTTGTCAATAACACATTTCTCCTTCACATGCTGCAGTATTGTAACTTCTGGTCCTTGAACACTTCAAAATTGAAGTCTTAAAATGGCCCTTTCCAAACTGTAATTTATCCATTATGATGGAAATAACAATGAAAAAAAAAGTTTTGTTCAGAAATTTAAAAACATTTGTAGTACAATTATGATAAATATAAAAAACTGAGTCATTTTTAATAGGCTATGTGGTGCGACAATCCTAAACTGCATTCTTATTTGCATCATCCCTTCTGTTGAAGTTGCACTTGACTAAAGGCATTTATTTGAACACTGCTGCATCATTAACCACAGACAAAATTGGAGTTATACATGCTACAGGAGTTGGGGGCATGATGTATGTCTGGGCTACTTGTTTTATTATAAATTAATATAATCTGTCATATCCAAAAGGCCTAAATTGAATGATAATTGCCTGTTGTGATTTTAATATGAAAATAACATGATTTGGTTATACTAAATGTGTGTTCTTATGTGACCTATAATCATAATAGTTGTATTATAACTTGCATCACATCTATTTAGCCATGAATGAACCACACCAGGAACTAATTAAACTCAATAAAAACACTGGAGTCTGACTAACTTTTCACTGTTTATTTTAGCCTATTCTAGCAGTTCTGGATTGATGTGCAATGACTGGTGGGTAAATTATTGTCTCTACTTGTGATGTACTGATGAATCCTTGTTCCCTATGATCACAGACACTCACTACGCATTACCTTACTGCACATTAACTTGAGGGAACCCGCCTTTATTGTGTATCATGGAGCAACTGCATGACCTCCTTACTTTGGTGAGAGGTGTATATTTGCTGTATTGGAATAATCCAAAATGACAATTTTATTAAGTGATATGAGGGAAAGGCGCACATAATGAGCAGAAGAGTTCACATAATTAATACCGGCAGCTTTCTTATACCTGCGAGGCTCTGTGCTCAAATGCTTTATTCTGGTGAAATGAGAAGACTCGCTTTAGTAGCTGTCAGCAAACATGACACATAAGTGCTCGTGTAAAAAAAGACCAGTTTTCATCACCTTAATGTGTCCATCTTAATCACCTTAAGTCATTTCAGCACAGAGGCAGTGTCTGGCCTGTTCACATTTGAGTCAACACTCTTTTAGATTCCTAGAAAGAATCGCAACAACATCTGAGGTATGGAGACTGTTTCAAGTTAACTCAAAAACCATTTCAACTATTAACTGCAAACTACCACGACTCCCTTGGTTTTCTCTACTATGGTATGCTAAGGATTAGTTGTGGGAATGGGTTTTTAGAGCTCCCCAGTATAACAACCAACCAGAAGCATGGGAGTCATAATCTGGTGGGGAGTAAGATTTCGGCACCCGCAATACTTACCATGCAGGGCAGAGGCAGTCTCATAGACATGGGTATTCCAAGGCTTGTGCTTTCACTGCATAGTCGCAATGTACATTGAACACATCTAAAATCTGGGAATCCCAGATTATGACATAGAGGGAACCCACAATGGAATCAAACATCCGGACATTAACCCATTTAACCCCAAATTTTTTCTAGACATGAAAACATCCAAATGATGTGTCATTATAAGTATGTTTTATGGTTGGTCACAATTGTGACCAGTGGAATAGAAGTTATTACTCCACCTGTGTGACATCAACATAACTTCTATATTCGATGTTTGACAAGTTACTAAAAGGTGTGACTAGTTAGTCAATCTCTCCAAAGATGCCTTGTACTGGTGGTTAAGAAGCAAGTTGCATAATATGAAAATGCATGGCCCTGATTGACTATTTCAACTGATGTGAGAAACCCGACTAACTTTTGAAAGGTAAAAACAACAAAACAAACAAACAAACAGAGAACACATTAACACGTTCTTTAAATGTTTATTTTTTCCACATACAAAAAATCCATATACAGAAGTCCCTAAAATTATCATGAAGGTTGTCAAAATTATAAAAATGAAAAACCTGGCACCCTGAACTTCACAGGAAAATGGGAGGTCTGATTTTGAAGGGCCATTGGACTTCAGCAGTGCTGATTCAATGTAGTAAGGGTCAGGACATTTCTGGTAATATTCGTATCATGGTGCTATTTAATATCGCTAAGGGGTTACTAAATTGGAAGCAGGGAGGATGATGCAAAAGACATTACAACTGCATTGGAACAACATTTGTTTTGGTAGCCGGTGTATAATCAGTCTAAACTGCTCTACAGAGTGCTCAATTGTTTGTGACCCTGCTTTTAAGCGAAGATTAAGCTCATATGACTACACGGGAAAATTTTTGATGATGAATTGACTGGTCCTTGGTAACAATGTAAATATTAGACTAAGCCCTCACAAATGGCAAATGGTCTGTATGAAGTTCAGCATCATACTAAAATGGTGTATTTTTCTCACAAACACTTTTATATGCCACGTAAAGATTTATGTTCACCGTGGCATAAAATGCATGTAGGGCATTGTTACAGGTAACCAAACTCATTTCTGAATCAAAACAACACACTTTCAACAAATGAAAAAAGGCTGAATCTCACAAATAGAATTCTAACAAAGTATTAAAGCTTTCATGTTTACTTTATACTGAAGGTTTAGTCACTTTATTGTGTATAAAACCACCAGCGGGAACAGTGGATCTTTTTAGGATGCTGTTTACATCATCTTATATATACACACCCGTTTACATCATCTTATATATACACACCCACACTGTTCACATAATCCACTAGGAAGAGGAAAGGAGGAGCACAGCACTGAGTTGTTAATATGTGCAGTCTCAATGACAGTCTCTGTATAAACTAAATTTAAATGGACTACTGATACACATTTTAATTCTGCTGGTTACTCAAGACAAGTAAAATTTGTAAATATATCAGAGGGGGAGCAAAAAATAAAATAAAATAAAATAAAAATAAGAGCAACTGTGTACTGCTAATTTGAGATAGTAGATTGCAGACAGGTTTAGTACCTGTCAGATTAAACATTAAATGTCAGTCAACAAAGCTGAAAGTAACAGAGATGGGACGTTTTAAGTAAAACCTTTCACAGCAATTTCAGCCTCAAATAGCATTAACATTTAATTCCCAATACTGAATATGTAATTTTGGAAGAATGTTTGCTGACATTGGTTTTGAACAGCACTGATTTGCTTAAAAATCTGACTGCATTTGGAAATAATTCATCAGGAGAGAACCTGTTACTGAACTGCTCCGTTATAATAAATGGCATGGTGATGCGTCTCTTAACTTCAGCATGCGAGTTTACTGCATGCCTTACATCACAGCACACTTCTTCTCCTCTGATGGGGCGTTTCCATCAACTTTTTCCATTTCCAGAATAATCCTCTTGAAAACCTCTACAGCTGTCTGTAAAATGAATGTTCTTTTACAAAGAAGAACATATACACAAATGTCCATACTATACAGAAAAGGAAAATGTGTATTGCAGAAATGTGTCTATAACATGTTTTGTAAACAACTGTAAAATAAGCAAAAGTTCCTTATTTATAAGAAAAAAAAAAAAAAAAGTATTAAAAACAGTTACCTGATTTTCCTTAGCAGATGACTCCATAAAAGCAGCACCCCAAGAATCAGCTAGCTTCTTGCCCTCTTCTGGTTTAATCACTCTAGAGAGAGAGAGAGAGAGAGAGAGAGAGAATGCTGTGCCTTCCAACTTTTTGGACAATTTTATGGTCTGAAATGTATTTAACTCATATTGTTGATTGATGAATGTTAATGAGTTAATTAGATTGCAAAGGCCAAATTAAATTTGCTAATTTAATTGCGATTTTTAGTATATGCAAGCATGTTTACCA